ATAATAATTAAAATAATATAAGGATGTGATATCATTATTGATTGGTCATTAATTACATTTGGCTGCGGGTAATTAAAGCACTTTCACTAATGAGTAATTAATTGTTGTCATTAGCTTAATGGGTCTTAATGAGCAATTAATATGCAATTAATTGATGTCATTAGCTTAATGGATGACGTCACTCGCTAATGACCCAAAGTGCCCGCAATTCTACTCATGACATTCATGACACATGTATAGAATTTAGGAACAATCAGTTTCGTAGTTTCCGAAATTACGTGTCTTACGACTAGCCCTTTCGCTACGAAGCTCGAATTAAAATTTCTTGCCTCTAAAACGTACGGTCTTCGTTTCGAGGACTCCATTTTTCGTAAACATACGTCCTTCCTACACAGGATACAAAATTAAGATGAATCAAGAGAAATACAACCAAACATGTTTAGTCAACCAAGCTGGCATCACCAGGGCAATAAATGTACTGGATATGTATATTGATGATATCAACTTGTTTAACAAAACGCATAGCCTTGTTGATATATTCAATTTAGTGTTATGGATTTATTTTACTCAAGTATTTCAGGTCATCTACGCAGGTTTTAAAGTATAACCACTTGTATACTTTAATTAGAAAGCATTAACGTGCTAAACGAAACTAAAGTTGAGCTCACTATTTGAATGATACCACCTAGACGAAGACCGTAATTTTTCGTAGAGAACAGAAAGCAGAACCCTAATTTATGCAGTCAGTGCCATCTGTGTACAACGGATTTAAAGAAAACGTACAGACCAAATGCGTACGGGCTTCGTCCTAATTAAGAGATACAAGTGAAAAAATACGGTTTTTCTTCAAACGTCAGAAATACGGGTCATTGCATACCTCAATTGATAAATACAAAGTCCTACTTCACTGCCTTGACAGGAAAAAAAATTTCTGCTTAGGCTGCAAAAATTTTTTGCTGCCGCTGAATCAACCAATGAAATTTAAGCCTAGCCGTCTTATGTGTTGATGTTGATGTTCTCACTGTTACTAGTGTTTTGTGCTGCCAATGTCAATCACAGACAACTGTCATATGTCATTTGTCACAATTCAGTCGGTCAGAGCCGAAGATTCGAATTATAACTGTTACCTAAATTAACCAATCATCATGCGCAAGCAAGAAGTATATAAAAAGGTAAAATTTTACAAAGGGCACTTCACGATTTCGCACAAACTGTTTGCACACAACTCTTCTACAGCACCCCCTGAACACGTTCCTCACCTTCAAATGTTGTAGAAATCCTTACTTTTGCCACAAAAAAATTGTTAAATTTCCCACTTTTCAATGGGAAGCCGTTTCCAACATAACCTAACTTTTTATAGTCAACAACACGCGTACATGTAACGTCGGGTATTTAGTGAAGGCAGGGCGCTTCGCGCCCTGCGCCCCATTGCATACATACCCCTAAACGTGGCACTTCTTGCTCCGTGGATCATTGTCATTGGAATTCGTGCGAATTCAACTATGTGTGTAGTTGGTTGCCTACATGTGGCGCAACTAATAGGGTGCAAACCATAGGGCGAAAGGGGCGAACACTAAATATTTTTTGTGACACAAAGAAGCATTTCCACAACTTTTGAAGGTAAAGAACGTGATCAGGGGGTGATGTACAAGAGTTTTGCACAAACAGTTTGTGTGAAATCGTGAAGTGCCCTTTGTAACATTTCACCGAAGTAACAACATTTAAAATATTGTAAAATAATAGTATTTCTAGGAGTACGTGATGGAATCAAAGGTATTTTGATTGCTAGAACTTGTCCTCTACAGATTTTAAAGGTGGCATATTTAGGTGAAGGTTGTTTTAAATAGCTGGAATTGGAATATTAAACAAGAAGAAAAGGCCTCTCGGTGAATAAATTTGCCACTGACCTATTTTCACATCAAAGTGAAAAACTATATCGATACTGAAAGAAAAAAATCACACAGTTATAGAGTATAGTGACTCCAATTTTTCTGCCTAGGCTGTTTTCGCATTTTTTCTGCCGGTCATCAGCGGCAGAAAAAGTGAGGGGTAGGTACCTACCTGTTTGGTGATTATGATTTATGATCAAGTGTCTGAATGTTTTAGACCTTAGAATACAAGTTGGTTATCGTATTAGTGCTTTAAGAATCAGTTCTAAGTGATTTTTGTCACAATTTCCTAGATTTCAACATTTTCATGTCCAATAAATTGGATCCAGTTTCACGTTTGAAGAAAAAATAGCATGTTTTATACGGAGAAAAATGACTTTTCGTGGCTCATCTGTAATTGCCGGCCTCGCGCGCTCGGCCGTCAAACGTACAGATTCGCCACGAAAAGTCTCATTTTTGCTCCTTACAAAACAATATACTATTTCGTTCTAAAGCACACAAATTATTAGACCGTATACGTACGGTCTTCGTAGCTAAAGGGCTAGAGAGCGGATTTTATGAAATTTGCATATCCGTTATTTTGTGCATATATATAAGTCTTGATATTTAATATGTGAAGGAATCATGTTAATTAAAAATGAATACAGCTATAAAAAATAGCATATTTGCATATATTTGCCTTCCACTGCATATTTCACGTAACGGGTGCATATTTTGCATTTTTATCAAATTTGTGCTAATTTGAAAAAAAAAAAATTGTCATTCTATCGGTATTTACGAGGAAAGATGAAATTTCATGAATCATATTGCAAATGTCGTCCAGAGCTTCAAATAACTATGAAAGGTTTGGGTTTTATGGTACTTTGGATAAACCACTGGGTGTTAAGCCATCCTTCCAGGTAACTTCGCGCCCTAATTACTTTTGGAAATACGTTCATCCCCAATATTTTTGTTCGTTACTTCAGTGTATTAATGGTATGTTTTGTGGTGATCGAAAGGACATTATCCTATTGTTTTCCATCGTGAGTTTGCATTGAAAGCATTTAAAGAGACACACCTGCATGTGTCGAAGATGACTGAAATTAATTTATGGATTTAACCTTTTCCTGAACTTATTCTTCAAGAAGAAACTGTGTTTTGTCGCGCCTGCTCTAAACCTGTAAGTATTTTTACATTTGTGGACGTAGTACGCAGTTTTTCTATTTACAAATACATACTTTAGAATCACCGGAAAAACTTTTTGTTAGAATATTTCGAAAAATATTTAAAAATAAATTGTTACCAAAATGGTAATTAAATAGTCGATTACTACTATTTTTTAATTTGTTCTGTTTATATATATATATTTTAGTATAAGAATATTATCACTAAAAATGTCATTTATGCGTTAGTGAAATGTAACACTTTGCAATGTGATTTATGTATTTTTTGTAATAAAACGTAAGCACGGGAAACCAGTTTTTGTAATTTGTAAATAAATTTAGTTCGCTTATTAAGCTTTTTTTTTAATTTTTGGAGCTTAAATGATGTAATATATGCATCTCTGCATATATTACATCATTTTTGCATAAATTTGATGCATATCATATGATCATATTTCCCAAAACTCTGCTGCATATTTTCCGCTCTCTACTTACGACAGACGGCAGATGAACAGACAGACAGACAACGGACGGAAATGAAAAACCCATTTTTTCGTAGTCTAGGGATCATGACCCATCGAGAATATTTTACGCTTGAAAAGTAATAGTATTTAACATTATTAGCATGGTAAAAGGGTTTTAACTGGCGGACAGAAGGATATGACTGGCGAGCCGCAGGCGAGCCAGTCACCTACTGGACCCAGTAAAAACCCGTTACCTTGCGTGTATTGTGCAATATTTTATTTGTTTCTCACTTGTAAATAACTATTATAAATTATTAAAACCTCTAGAAGGTCCAATATTTGAAGAAGCATCGTATGAGCTTTAGACGTATTGCCTTAGAAACGCACGTCAGCATGCCACTTGTCATAGCATTTACTGTGTTGTCTAGTCCTGTCATTTAGATTTTTCGATTTATCAGAATGTTCTGAATATTCTCTTTACTACTATTACTATTATTAATGATATTATTAATGCTCTTATACTTCTTATTAAATAAAGATATGCGTATTCTCACATTTTCGAGAGATTGGGGTGAATCATTCTTAATTTGATCAATAAAAAAATTGTTATGACGTCATAAAATACAGCGCGACAGAAAAAGAAAAAAACAAACGGTCAGTTTGGCATCGAATCTGAGACCCCTGGTGCATGTTTCGAGCTGCGCATTGAGCCATCGTATGTTAATGGTAAAGTGTTATTATACCGTGTACATTTTTTGTGAATACAGGGACGTTTAGGGAAAAACTAAAAGTAGATTCGTACACCACAAGTATAGGAGTATACATATTACTGTATAGGATTTAATTCATTTTAAAATACAATTTTTTGAAAGGACGTCATGAAATTGTTGGTGGGGATAATTAACCAAATTTTGGTTAGAGTTTTATCTACATGATCAGTCCAGTAGTTTCAGAGATTATGTGCCTAATAAAATCAACACAGGCTCCATATGCAGACCGATAGGCAGACGGACAGACAGATGGAAACGGGAGACCTCTTTTTTTCGTACTCTAGGGGTCTTGACACATCGACAAAATGTGAAAGTAGCCAGTCGTCCGATTGACTCGATTACAATACTTCCTTGAATTACGCTCAGGAAGTGGAAATCGTATAATTTAATTGAATAACGCGCATCAAATTCATAATTATAGAAGACAGAATTAATATATTTTCTGTAACAAGCATAATTCGAGAAAAAAAAATTGTCTACATACACATTGAGAAACTGCTTTAATAGTTACGTATATTAAGTAACTTCAAACTTAAAGCTATCGAAGTAAAAATAAAGAAATTGATTTTTATGAAACGGTTTTACCACTCTTAATTCTGTTATTAATGAATTTTTGAGCAGTCTACAATAATACGACCACTATTAAGAAAAAGGTAGAAATGCACGGAGAAATTGATTTCCTGGAGTCCTATCAACCACTCTCCAGTGTTTAATCTTTCATTTTTTCGTACTTACCAATTGTCGTAAGGACAGTTAGCGAATATAGGAATGCTTTCGCGAACGTCCACTCATAATTATCCCCTCCAATCCTTCCCACCATCTTCTTCTCTTGCATGGGCTGTTGTGCCAACTCCTCCCCCAGCGACTTAAGCAATTCATCTTGGAACCTGGTGATTTCCTGCGCGGCCAGTCTCGTCCAGTTATCTCTGTATAAAATATTCAGACTGACAGTAATATCCCAGATGTTCTCGACAGTTCTGGCCCTTGCCTCGTCATTCTTCGCTTTAAATTCAGCACTGTGGTTGAGAAACTTTTTGTTGGAATCCGAAGCCATCGAAGTAGTTGCCAGAATTTGCGTCGTGGAATGCTGAAACGTACTTCCCCCTTCGATGGCCAGGAAAATGACGGAGCCGATGAGAGTGTAGCCGAAGAGTAGAATGCAAATGCCGAGGTTTGTGGCGAGACCGGTGAAGAAGGCCTTAGTTCGTGACTTTCTCGATTTTCCAAAGCATCGGCACGTCTCGTTGGCCTTTTTTGGTTTGACGTCTCTCTTCAGCGAATTGGTCTTGCCTGAAGGTGAAAAATACGTGTAATTTATAAAAGTGTAACTTTATTATGTAATAGATAAAGAACAGAAGGATTTAATTATTATTTCAGTATCACAAACTGCTTATTCGGAAGTCGCAGAACTAATTAATAAAAAGAAGTTTGTAAGTGACACTCTGAGTTGTGGACTTTAAGCTGCATTTCGTTTCAATATTGTACTCTCTAACAAATATCTTAGATTACCCTGATGTTCAATGTACAAATAAATCAGTCAAAATACATTTGTTAAGTTTTATACGGGTGGCCCAAATAAAACGAAACAGACGAGACCGTAGGCGCTGTCCCTGATTATCTGAAAAATGACAGGTCGATTAATTCAAGGGGCACGTACTTATAACGTTGCAAGATTCGTATGTTTGTATGGAGGTGAATGGAGGTGATTTTCAACATTTGTTGCGTTGACATTCTTAACGAGTAAGTCAAAAGAGGTGTTACTTTATTGATTTTTCATAATACAATTTTTTAGGAACCAATCCACCGACTTCCAAAATCTAAACACTATTAGAAAGAGAATTAATAGAGCTTCCGCTGCCTTTTGGCTTAAACACAAGATGCCTTCTGACCCCTAGTGCCATTTAAGATTTCTGACTTGACAGCCGCCCCTCGTTCCTGGGTGAAACTGAAAGAACGAAAATGGTAACGTTATAGGTCCCGCTTGAATAAAAAAATCGACCTATTTGAGCATTTTTTACGCAATAAAGTACAGCGCCTACGGTAACGTCTGTTTCGTTGTATTTGGGCCACCCTGTATATTTCAAATTATTTGATGAATATTTCACTGAACACAACATCACATAGGTGTATTTACCGCTGCTGGAGGGTTGGAGTGAAGTGTCTTCAGTACAGCCGGTCTTTTGTGAACGGAATATTGAAAACTCTGAAACGAATTGAAAAGAAAAACAACGCGGAGAAGACTTACTCAATTAAGAATAAATGAATGAAAAATAATAGGAATTAAAAGTGTATGACGTGACAACAAAATTTATAGATAAGAGACCTGTTGCAATCTATTCATAATTGGGTAACAGCACAAAATTAAACCTGTACGCGAAATTTCAGACGAGTTATATAAGAGATGGAGCAAGAAAATACTAAATTTTAAATGCAAACTATAGAGTACATTTCACCTCAAATGGCGACATCACCTTAATTCCATTATTTGTTAACAAGCCGGGTTCTTTAAGATTTGCTTTAGAGCATTATGCTTTCCCAATTTTGCTTCTTCCAACACCCTTTAATCTGACACCTACATTTTCAAAAGTCGAATATTTTATTTGGCGTTGTAAACACGAAAACATTTTATTAAGAAAAATTACACAATTTGGTTTTTGATAATATATATATATATATATATATATATATATATATATATATATATATATATATATATATATATATATAGTTGTTATACCGCTTACACAGTCCCGACTTGCTATATCTAGTAAACGTTACCAGACCTTTTGAGACGTTACCAGACCCGGGTTCGGGTCTGATAACGTTTAACCATGTATATCGCCTTCTTGGACCCAGTACAATTAAAAATTGAAATAAAAAAGTGGGTCTAGTAAAACTGTTGAACGTCAAATTTTATACAGAAATAGTTCATTCCCCTTTTCTGCAGAGGGCGTCGTGTCGCTTAGCTGTATATAATATCTGCCTGCATAAAATCGTCCACATCGGACCAACGTTACCAGATCCGTAAATCTGCAACACTGCATTCTAGCAGATCAGTTCAGTATTTAAGAAAACCATGAGTACTTTTCTTATTCTACTTGTATCTGACTGCTTGCATTAAGTAAAAATATGTTATTTGAATTAATAAAGAATTTTTACAATGAATCGTTTGAGGAATGGCTAGTTTCATGTTTTCTCGATGTTACATAACTCTTATTAGACCTAGAATATGAAAAATTATGTCTTTCATTGCCGTTTGTCCGCCGTTCTTGTTAGAGACAATTTCCAAAATTACATACTATACAGATTATTTTGAAATTCAAGATACAGTTTAGGATTATCGTGGAGATGGGGGTAAAATGCTTATTAACTAAATACATAATTCAGCCTTATGTTTAATAAAAATAATAAAAATAAGGTTTTTTAGTTGAAATATACCATATGTTCGAAAAAAAAAAATAGCCCGGGACCGTAGCTATCTTATTTTTCGAATAGATCAAATTAAATCATTTTAAATGTATTGCGATCTTAATTGTAAAACTGATTTTTAATTTTCTTTTTTTGCCTATGACATTCAACTTTTGTTTTTTAAATGACATCCTAGATATTTTTTTTAATTCTTGTGATGTTTTTTTCTGAATACATTGATGTACTATGTTTCGCATTTTGTTAAAAAGCTGTGGTAAAAATTAATTTAATTTTTATAGCAAGGTAACTGTAACTGAAAAATGTACCAAAATTTTTGTTACATAGCAAGTTTAACACGGTTTATAACACTTATTAATGTATAGGAGTTTTAAATTTGAAAATTAAACTTCTATACGAAAACATTATTAACTCAAGACATTTTATTGCAAATATGATGTATTAAATTATTAATGTTTGAAAATATTAACGTATTATGTACACAATGATACATCAATAAATTTAGAAAAAATCTCTACATGAATCTTAAAAAAATATTCAGGGTGTTTGGTGTAATTTAAAAAACAAAAGTTGTATGTCGTAGATAAAAACAAATGAAAGTTAAAAATTATTTTTTTTAAATCAGATGGTTGTATTTATATTTAGTAGACGATATATGTAAATTTTTTGAAAAATTATAAAAATTATACAACATTTGACAATTAATTTCAGAAATTAGAAAACGACTCCTCAAAATTTTGCATAATTATGCCTTGGTGCTCATTCACAATGGGCATAAAGCATAAGGATGTCATAAGCATTAATGCATATGGATTTATGTTTAGTGCTCTATGGTTGTATTCGTTCACAATGAGCATAAGTGCTCATTCACAATAGGCATAAAGCATAAGGATGTCCTAAGCATTATGCTCATTGTAAACGAATAGAAGCATAGAGCACTAAACATAAATTCTTATGCATTAATGCTTATGACATCCTTATGCTTTATGCCCATTGTGAATGAGCACTTACAGTTATAATGAACGTGGTCAGGTCAGGTCACCAAAGCGTTTAACTGAATGTAATTTGAAAAGTGCAAAATTGTATACTTCTGTAAGTGTAGTTTTTTTTAATCCTCTCTTATTTTCAAATTCGCTATAATGATCTACGTATCCATATTTTACTTAATTTTTATTTGAAGATAGGAACTTGATTATATTCTAAATTAATTGATCCTCACTTAATATTAATTGAAAGAGATCATTCTTTTAGCTACATCTAATTTGTACATCTATTGGTAGATTTCGACAACAATCTTTTTAAAGCAACATTTAGTTTTTATTCCATTTTTTTTAATGAATATATTTGTCGGTAAATGTTTTATTTATTTCTGTTCGTTAGAATTTCGCAATTAGTTGATTTTTTACTTACTGAGCGTAAGTAAAGGAAGTATTGTAATCAAGTCCATCGGCCGACTCTCTACTTCTACGTTTTCTCGACCTTTCATTACCCCTACAGGACGAAGAAATAGGTCTCCCATTTCCGTCTGTCCGTCTGTCTGCAGCCCCGGATTTTTATTGGGCAGATAATCTCCGAAAGTACGGGGCGATTGTTGTCAAATTTTGTATTTACGAGTATATTAGGAATATCATGTAGATGGCAAAAAAGCTAACCAAAATTTGTCTAATCGTCCTCACCAACAATGTGATGACGTCACTTTAAAATTTCACATAGTAAATGGGTTTTAAATTGTATGAAATAACATAGTCCTACACATGTAGTTTATGACTTCGTATTGAGTTTTACCCGAAAAGTGCAGAATTTTTGAAAAAAATCAAAATATGAACATCAAAATTTTGCGGTATAAATCCGCATTTTATTCATATTTTTGAATTTGCATAAACAGGATGACACAAAAAAAATATTCAATGCGTGATTTATTTTATTAATTTAATCAGGAACTGCAAAACCGAATGTTTTAAAATCATGGAGATGTTTAAGATTATCATAAACATGGTAAATCTTTAATCAGAATGTATTTGCTCATCCACCCTAAAAAACAATTGATGACATCACCTCAAAATTTTGCTAAATAAATCCTATCTTAAATATGCAAAATATGATGACTTTATACTTGTGATTTATCACTACATTAATATTTTTTAGATTTCGTTATACAGCTGTCTCAAAAAAATTAATGACTGAAAATTAGTATTTTCTTAAAATTCAAACAATAACGCTTGGCAAACAGGTATCAAATACCCGCAAGAGTGTCTAAAATGCGAGGATAGCAGTTTTTTGTTCCATAGCTACCTATCCTTTAATAATTTTTGAATTATTTTCGCAATAATTTATCGGTTTGGCTAACCAGACGTATTTCGGAGATGAATTTTTGCATACAGTATTTATTTTTCATGTTTAATGAAGTGATGCAAATTAATTAAACTTAATTATTTCAAAATTAAATTAAGGCATGGAAAATTTACTTTTTCAAGATAATGATTATTCTCACCGGTTCATATTAATCCTCACCTATCAAAATACTTACATTTCAAATTTCATAACAATCCGTTCAAAAATACCTGAATTATTGCGCCCGAAAGTGTTACGTGGGACACCCGGTATACTTAGATGGGAAACAGACAATCTAGAGAAAGATGAAAGTCTTAAAATGTGTCTCAGCAAGCATAAGGATTATTTTGCAGAATTCAAATGGTTCAGACAAAATATGTACACGAAAACTAAAATGATACATGGACTTCACATGCACTAATTTCATTGTAGCGTTTGCCACGCTAAGTATTATTAAGGGATCGAGATCCTTCGAGGGCCTGTAAATTTGCAAACGTTTTATGCATTGAGTTTTGACACTAAGATTACCGATA